GACACCCTCTCTCTGTTTAAATCTAGATTAAAGACACATCTCTTTGGCCAAGCATTCAAATAATGCATCTCATAATCTTGTACTGCAGTTATATCTGATCAAATGCACATTATTATTATTTAGCTTGGCTTAAACAAATACATTTGCTTGGTTGGAACAGCAGTTACGCTAATTATGTCTCTATCTGCTTCTCTGTTTCTGCCATGGGATTGACATCCCGTGGTAACTAGGATTTACACAAGCTTCAGTCTGGATCCAGAACACCTGAGAAGAGATTATGCCAACCCTTCAGAGGACCTCAGATGATGCCAACCCTGAAACCACATACAGAACTACCAAATTTTGCTGTAAGTTTGAATGCATCATATAATAATTTAAAAGTTGCTTTGCAATGATTTGTATCATGAAAAGCACTATACAAATAAACTTGATTTTAGCCATAATTAGATTTTTTTTTTTTTTACATTAATTTTGTAAGGCTTGTTTTAAACTTCACAATCTGTAACAGGTACTCCAATGCTACTTAACAAATCTGAAGGAATACAGACATTTTGGGGTTTGTGACACCCCTCCTCATGTAAATGTGATATTTAAGTCCATATTAATTCACAATTGCATTTTGGCTGTGGTCCCTGTATTTGACTAAAACCAGCCCTGATATAGTGTAATTCCTCAAGCATTTTAAACATTAGGTCATGGAAAATCAGTAATAGTGCATTTGATGCAGTTCTATTATTGCGTCATCATTTTAACGGATGTGTTTTTAGTTTACAGTTTTTTTAAATTATTCAAAGAGCTGGATTTTGTTGAACCTCACACAAATGAGCTTTGGAGAGTTAATTGACCTAAGTGACCTGAATCTTCAAAAAAAATTTCCATTTGGTAAAAACAAATGAAACCATGGAAATGTTTATTTGAAAGTGCTGAAAGTGTTTGTTTGAAAAGCGTGAAAGTGTTTATTTGAAAGTTTGACAATGTTTATTTGAACAGTGAGAAAGTGTTGAACTTGCCCTTTCCATTTTAAATTGTTTTATCAGTTGTATTTTATTTGTCCTGTTTCTTTGCTAATGCAATGTTAATTTCATTTATTGAACTTTGGGGGATTACTGCCTTTACCGTTTGATGAATGTTATCCATTATTAAATTATCAATCCATTTCAGATAAATTTATTCCACTTGTAGTTTATTGATTCCATCTGTAATTTGGTATGTAGCATATATTCTGTGTAATAATAGCAATAGCAATATGCTGATATATGATTGTGTCAGTAAATACCTATAGTCTTGAATTGCTTTGGATAAAAAGCAAGAGCTAAATAGACAATGTTCCCCCACACTGAAAGAATATGAGCTAACGTTGTGTACATTAAAAAGTGTTTTGCGAGCGCTTGCAAAATGTCAGTTTTTAAACACTATTAGGGGATAAATCTGGTGCCATGACCCAGAGGGCTTGGATTAAAACACATTTGAATTCTGTCAAATTAAAGTTAAATAATGCAATCATTCAGATGTTCTTGTCTATACATACTTTAAAGCTTGTATGAAAGTATTTTATATTTATTTATACAACAAACAAACAAAACTGGTATAATAAGACAGTCAGGTGCAGCACTTGCCCACCATCTGCCCCAGTGAAACCAGGAGACAAGGCTGACAAACATGTTGCTTCTTCTCCTTATTGCTTTTTTTTCTTGATCTCACACTAAACATGTTGAAAGGTATATTTATGGAGCAAGATTGTAAGAGTTGTTTCAGATGGTTTCAATTCATCAGCTGGATCATACATCTGTTCCTGCTTCAGACAGTAAAAAAAGGCTTAACTTACAAAAAATGTTTATTTTGGATTATGTTTGCAACAGCCTCTCCAGTCCTAACAAGTTGTCAGATATGTCCAATAACCAGATTTATTTGTGTATTTGCAGATGCTGAAATCTTCAATGTGAGCAAAGGACTTTGTCTGCTATTGACTGGCATCAAGTACATTGATCAAGCTTATGCCTTCTTTTTATTGCTCATTATATTCATTATTTAAATTGTTTGAACATCAAAATGACAAGATTTCCATTGTGACAAACAACTTTTAAAGTCCCTCTTTATTTAAGCTATTAAATAATGGTTTAACATCATCAGTTAAGCAAGCAGGTAGAGTTCTGTGTTACAGCTATGTTATTTATCCGTAATACAACAGATAACCTGAAGTAACACTTTTTGAGAAGATAATGCAGAAAGCACGAAATGAAGGCAAATAAAGACATATCGACCAGTACGATCTATCTACAGGTATTTTTATCAGTATTTGTTCAGCATTGTTGGCACACAATGAACCGTTGTCTGACTTATTCGTTCTGTATCAGAAGTGTGATCTTTTAAGTGCATTTGATCTATATTTTATACACACCAAGAGTTCCAAAAACAACCAGAGCCGTCTAAAACATCACAAAAAACAACAGCAGATGAAAGACTCCGAGTTGCCAGTCAAAGGTCATAATGCTAATGAAATTTGTAAGGTAAAATCTACTGTTTTTCCATTTTCTATTGAATTTGTAAGTTTACAGTGCTGAATTTTGGACTCAAAGTAAAGGAAAAATGAGCTGAGGTGCAAAAATGAATGCAACCAAACGCTCAGAGAGTTAAAGCAGAATATTTCTCACAATCCCTTCCATTTTATGTCAATGAACTCATTAGCCTTGTAATGTAAAAAGCAGCAGAGTTGATACTGGCAGGACAGAGATGGGACAGAGTGAAAAAGAGGACATTTCAATTGATTAACACCTTTAACGGTTCCAAAACATCTGTGGAGAGGTATTAAGTAAAAATAATAACAATAAATTCATAATAATATTAAAAAAATATATGATTACTCAGATTTTTATTGGGTAATACATGGAGCTTGTAGATGCTGGGCAGGGACAAGAAAACTTTGCACCAGTTGTGATGTGAATTCTTGATGTTTAAAATGTAATGTATCTCCTTGGGCCAATAAATAATGCTTTGGAGAGCAACTCTTGCATAATGTTATGCAAAAAGAGTAGTGTGAA